ACTTTGTGTTACAAGCATGAAACTTGGCATGACTGTAGCTTATACCATTCTAACTGAATAAAGATCGAGAGGCCTCGCAGATGTTTTTTAATATTTTCCATAATTTGGGGGGAAAAAGTGAAAAAAAAATCATTTTTTTATACTATTTTTGTTATAACTTTTTACAAAATTCTCCAATTCTCATAACTCATTTATCAAATTGTAGGAAATTCATAGCTGGTCATTTTCCATCTATACATGTCTTTTTATCTTTAACAGTTAGGTCTACGGAAGTCAATTTATATCACGACTACCCGAAAATGGGAAAATTGGCGGCCATATAGAGTACATAAATAAAATAAGTATGAGATCATCCCATGATCTAAAATATTTTTATCATTTCTTTGCAAATTCAATACGAAAAGCCTCACAGATTGTGGGAAAATTGAATTTTCCCAAAAATGTTATTTTAACTCAATTTTAAATCCTCATGAATTATGTATCTAGAATATTGTGAGAACAGATGAGAGTTTATTTTAAAGAATATATCATTAGATTTACTTACATGTATAATGTATGAGCTTGGTTGGCTATAGATCACTTATAAAAACTTAAATAATGATTCGATTGTGACCATTTATAGCTCATTTTGTAGGGAAATCATCTCGCTTTTGATCCGTATGCCTCGACGGGGCATTTAAAATAGTTTACGTGGTGAAATCTAACTTTGATTGAGGAGGGGATGGTTCCGTCGTTACATCCCTTTCCTTTTATATAGTACTAGGGTAGGGTCTATGTACCTATATGTCTTTCTAACGCTGTTTCTAAGCGTGACACGTCCCTGTGCACTTGAAAGATTGCCTCCTGGGCAATACTGACGGTCTTCAGACCTCCCCATACACTCCCCGTGGCTACCTTTACTTGTACCGTTTCTTTGGACGCCAGCTGGACTGTCAATTTTAACTCTCGGAGTTACGGGTGTTGAAGTGTATTGAAGGGCTAGAAAGCGTTCAAAACCCAGGCAGAACACGTTTTCGACACGAGAGCGGTTCGGGGAAATGCAGCCGGGGTCATGCACCTTTTAAGTAGTTCCCACAGAAGATATAGTTCTCTCTTTAACTGCCCGTAGCTCCGCCGTCCTTGGGTCTACGGTCCAAACGATTAGTGTTCTGGAATTGCCGTGATCCTAGCTATCTGACGTATGTGCATATACTGCTCTTGTGAAACAACCATATAATTTATGTGTGTATGTAGTGCATTTGTTAAACACCCATTACAAAATTTGAAATAAAACTCATATCTGACTGTACTTACAATGTTTATTGATGCAAACCTTTTCTCGACGCTGTATGGCTAGGATAATGCCGATGTAATGTAAAGGTCAATTCAAGGGCAAGTATTTCTTTGGGCATTGAATGACGTTTCAGCTCAGATTTGACAGCTCCTTGTCATTGTCAGTTACATCTGTCGGTGAAATTCACATCGTCTCCCATATCTGCACGTGGACCACGCTTTGCAGTGGTAGTCTCGCATATACTATAAGAGATATTACTGGTAAATGTTGCAGACTTTGTTGTGGTCAAAAAGTCAAGTGTATTCTTCTCACAGTAAACAAACAAACTGCTGGAGAGATCACATCCTGGCAATTCCAGAACACTAATTGTTTTGACTGTAGACCTAAGAACAACGGAGTTACGACCTGTTAAAGAGGGAACTATTTCTGTGGGCACTGGAAAGCCAGGAAGCGGTAATTGTGGCTAGATTTTACTGTCGCTTCCAGTGAGATGAGAACTAACTGAAGGAAGCGACAGTACAATCTAGCAACACTCGCCGCTTCCTTCAGTTAGTTATCTCACAACTGACAAAATGCGAAAATGCAAATGTCTCTCCCTGTTTGTGGCGTAACTATTGAGTTTTACATAATAATAATGTGAAGCAAAGATGTTCCACATTCAATTATCTACAGTGTGGTACCTTGAAACACGTAATTCATTGTGTTTTCGCAGAGCTGTGACATTTTTATGAACCCTATCAAAATGCGTCTTAGAAAATTCACCGACTTCCAAGGGTGATAACTCCACAACTATTCAAGTAATCGATATGCTTTGAACGAGCTAAGTAGTCCGGAGTGTGGGCTTTACAACGATATATCAAACACGATTGTACTATATGCCGTTCAGGAGGAGGAGATTTTTAAACACAGGCACCGTTAAACCGGAAAAATCGACAAAAAATAAGTTTTTCCAAAATTGCGGAAAATTTCTTCTGCTGCTAAACTTATTTTATGCGTTGAACGGATGGAGAATGACGTTGTCTACATTGAGTGAAACTTATCTCTTATAGTTTTGGTGATATTGAGATTGAAAATTTTGCAATATTTTGACATTTTGGGTTATCTGCCCTTACCGGAAGCCGGAAGTTTTTCGACTATGTATCAATTTCAGCATACAGGCTATCGTCCCTGAAAGTTTCATGAAAATCGTCCCAGAGGTTAGGTCAGAGCTGTGACATTTTTATAAACTCTATAAAAATGCGTTTGACAAAATTGACCAACTTCCAAGGGTAATAACTCCGACACTATTCTAGATATCGAGATTCCTTGAACAAATTAAGGTGTCCAGAGTATAGGCTTTCCAACAGTGTATCGAACGCGATTGTACTATTTGCCATTCATGAGAAGAAGATTGTTAAACACAGGCACCGTCAAAACGTGCGGAAATGTGCAAACTCGCCAAGTTTGTGCTTGTGCCGTAATGGAGACGTAAGTATTGATTTGTACATAACCATAATGTGAGGCAAAAATGTTTCCTATTCAATTACCTACAAGTAGGTACTGAGGGCAATGGAATCCATTGATTTTTCGCAGAGTTGTGACCCTTTTTTTAACCCTATGAAAATGCGTCTTAGAAACATTCACCAACTTCCAAGGGCGATAACTCCAAAACAATTCAAGATATCAACATGCCTTGAACAAATTAAGGTATACAGAGTATAGGCTTTCCAACGGTGTATCGAACGCGATTGTACTATATGCCGTTCTGGAGAAGAAGATTTTTAAAGACAGGCACCGTCAAAACATGTAAAATCGGCAAAAAATTCAGTTTTTTCAAAATTGCGGAAAATCTTTCTTACAATTTTCTTCCGCTATGCCTTGAAGCAATGGAGCATGATGTTGTCTACATTGAGTGACAATTTTGTCAATATATCTAATAGATAATCAAGCTAGATACAATAACACATGATTGAGTAACCTACCATAGATTAATGAGATGAAATATGTTTGCGTTGATTTTGATAAGTTTTCATAGGTGATCTATAGCCAACCAAGCTCATACATTATATATGTAAGTTAATATAATGATATATTCTTTAAAAATAAACTTTCGTCTGTTCTCACAATATTCTAGATACATAATTCATGAGGATTTAAAATTGAGTTAAAATAACATATTTTGGAAAATTCAATTTTTCCCCAAATATGAAAGATTGCCACAATCTGTGAGAGGCTTCTCGTATTGAATTTGCAAAGAAATGATAAAATATTTTAGATCATGGGATGATCTCATACTTATTTAATGATGTACTCTATATGGCCGCCAATTTCCCCATTTTCGGTAGTCGTGATATAAATTGACTTCCGTAGACCTAACTGTTAAAGATAAAAAGACATGTATAGATGGAAAATGACCAGCTATGGATTTCCTACTATTTGATATATATGACTTATGAGAATTGGAGAATTTTGTAAAAAGTTATAACAAAAATAGTATAAAAAAAATGATTTTTTTTTCACTTTTTCCCCCCAAATTATGGAAATATTAAAAACATCTGCGAGGCCTCTCGATCTTTATTCAGTTAGAATGGTATAAGCTACAATCATGCCAAATTTTATGCTTTTGACACAAAGTGCACAATTTGATCACTCATCTTCTCCGCTTGGCTATGTGTGCTGAAAAGGTCTGTTGTGTTTGTGCATGTCGCAACGAACGTCATTTCTATAATAACCTGCGCTGCGCTGGATGTATAAATAGATCCTTGTTCATCCTTGTTCACTACGTGTTCACTCGCGACATGAACCGAGTATTGCGTGGCGCTTATGTGTGTATAACCAATCAACGTCGGACTACACACATTCATATGTAACAGAACGTGACGTAGATCCTATATATACCTACCGAATCATATATCTCCATCTCCAAATCATGATCATCGTCGTGCGAGTCTAATCTACAATAGTCAAGCTTATATGCGTTAAATGACGTAATTTTTCTGGGATCTTTCGAATATCTCGTGTCTCGATCCTATATGAGGAAACATGCACACTGATATAAACGAATAAGGAAATACATGGAATTACAATGGTTGCTTCATTCCCAGAATTTCACATAAAGTGCAATACAAAGCATTCGAAGAAACCTGGAAAAGAGTATAGGAACACTTGTACTTTCTTGGCTATCCTCTATTCGTTTCCCTCAGTATATATAAACCGATCATTTGGCTTTCGTATCGAACACACACACACACACATAAAGATGGAGGTAAGCATTTGAGCCTGTTTGCCTAACTCGAAGAGTAGTAGCTAATTTCCAAATATGTTTAGATAATGCATCCACTCACTGAAGATTAATAGTTACATTGTTACATGTCGCTTTTTATTAAGTTGAAACTGTAATTTAACATGAACTCTAAGCGTGAACGAAATCGGTGTAAAACCAAACAAACAACAAAACAATGTGAAACCATTAACAATTGTATTCTAAAAATTAAGTTTACAAATAATTACAAATTACTGTAAATGAATCACTGGCAGGGCAAAGTAGAGTAGCAGTGTATACATGACAAAATAATACATGCAGTGATTAAAGTTACAGAGACAGTGATGGTAATATTTGTGATATTAAGATTAGTAATATCATAAGCTGATAGTATATCTGGTCCGACTGTTGGAAAGCTGGTTCACGGCTCCCTTTGCGTGCGCTAACGTTCAACAAAGCAATTGCGATATGCGAGACGGGGCCCAGCTTAGACTGTTGGTTGGTTATACGTATTTACCGCTGACGTCAATGATAAGTATTTACACACCTACAACATAAACGAAGAAGGTCTGGGAAGCCCAGGAATCTCGGGAAATGGTAAGTTCCAGTCCATTTGTCCTGGCCCCCTCCACAGACACAGGTCATACATCTCGCAACATTGTCGGTGTGACATTTATAGTAGTCGCCATGGCTGTAGTGTTGTGTACGTGTCTGACAGCAGTTGAAGGTCACAGTGTTGTCATGCCACACATATGGTAGTAGCAGTACATAGCTACCACGACGAAGAATATGCAGATGAGGATCACTATGAGTATCTTGATCCATTTTAAGGCCAATGTTTACATAGACTATACAATCTAACAATAACAAAAACCAATACGCAATGTAGTGAAACTAAATATAATTTGGGTCAGTAAAACACGGGCGGTTGCCTTCATTTCTATTCAAACTGAGTCAGAGTGTTGGGTGAATGCAAAATACGGAATGTCGTCTTTCTCCACCACAGGTGGTGTTCCAATTGTCGCCATATTGCGATATGCGAGATTGGGTCCAACTAGATCTATGTCGCCAGTATCGGTGAATGCAGATCTAGATCCTAGCCTAAACCAGGGATACTCTACAACAGGGATAGGTCACTCGCTTGCATTCTTTACCATTTGTACTAATTAACGTGTGCCTCGTCATGCTCCAACGCACACAGTGACTTGGTTCGGTCCCAGTGCAACTTCGGCTGCGTTTAACAGTACTTCAGCCAGTGTATTGTATCAGTCGGAGTTTTACAATGAATGAATGAATGAATTAAGAGCAAGAATTATATGTGAATGAATGAAAGAAATTAAGAAAAAGAACAAAAGATAGAGTCTCCCTGCCTAAACACGTACAGTCAAGAGTCTCTTGTAGACTTCCACGAGTCTCTAAGGTTATACTTGATCCTGAATGGGTCGTTGTCGGCACGTACAAGGACCACAGAATACAAATATGTACCCCAGGTACGTTTCTTTATACAGAAATGTACCCTAAACAAAGTCAAAATACATAAACGTACCCTGTACCCTAAATGGCGGACGAGTCCATATTCCGCCAAAACCGAAACCGTATGTTGTTTTTCCTGTTCAACTGATTACAATTGGTATTGTCCGCCGTGAAATATTCGTTTAAAGGTCACATGCAACGTAAAACACAACTTTGCAGATTCTGATACCTTTCGGTATGGACAAACCGAAACAAATAGTCAAAAATGCAAATTCAACTTATAAAGTTGAAAAATAACGCGATGAAAAAACCGCGCGAAATCGGAGTTCAAACGTTTCACTAATTTTCCCCAGACGTTTCTGGGGAAAACGGGTTTCAACAGCTGGGCTGCGCTCATAGCACGTGCGCAAGTAAATAGGTTCGCGCAGCTTGGAAGCGGGTTGTCGGGTGAATACTCGGTGAAGGCTTTGGTGTGAGCTATTTTTCTAATGTTTTGTTGATATCTCACAGGCGCGAGCTTTTTATATGTTATGACAGTAAATTAACTGTTTATATAATTTCATTTGTCTATTTCACCACACGTTCTTACCGAGACACTTTCTCAGTTCGATACTTAAAAGCAATGTCATTATTTAGCATTGACACAATTTCTAACTGTGATATAGATATGTCGTTGTCACAGACAAAACTCAATGTCTGGTTTTATTGACACCTGTGTGTCTGCCTGCCTGTCTGCTAATGACAATATTCAATACACAACTGCAATCACTGACCACATGCAATTCGAACTTAACACCAATCAGGCTATACACCATAAACAAAACGCATTGATTTATGGCCCGAGTTCGGTCTCTGTCACATTATGTAATTACACAGACAGGCAGGTGTGATACTTGAACACATGACATGTTATGATGTCTGTTGATTGCAAAATGTTATACACAAAAAATGACCATGTATTTACAAAACCCAACATCTCTATATATACACACACAATGAGCCGTGAAGGAGGCATCTGCTAATGAACCAGCCGTTACACTTGAGTGCACACCCGGCCGCTCTGACTGGGTTCGGTATCCTGGCTGCTTCGTTTCGAGGGAGGTAAACCGAAGTACAAAATATTGCACTTTTGATTTGCGATTATACGCTTATAATTTTGTTTATTTGTTTTTTCATAATCAGCAATGCATATTATATGTCATGAAGAAGTGATAATTGTGTTTTAATTCTGTTTGATTTTTTGGTTGCATGTGACCTTTAACTTCCTTAAGTGGCATTTAGGTGCTGGTATGATGAAGTGGGACACTTTTTGTGGATAGACAACTTCTATGTAGCAGTAGTAGTTGCGACGTTTCGGTGTAGATCCTAACATCGTTATCAAGCAAATGGAATACATCATTTGCACATGGAGAAAATATACATGACGGGTATCGGGTCATGTCAACTGACAATCACTTTGCAAACTTGATGAGATGTCCAGCAGCATCAAGGTACTGAAGAGGCGTTTTTCTGCCGCTCTGGAGGTGCTCCTTCAGTCTCAGAAGTCTCGCATCGAGCTCTCTGTAAACACGCTTGCGTGACTTGGGGAGGGCACCACAGTCGAGCTGAGCACGTTTAGCTTTGTCTACGGCTTCGATTTTCTTGATGTTGCAGATGAAGAGGTAGATGTTTGAGTGGACTTTGGCAATAAGGTTTTTCAAAGAAGCCTACCCAACTTGATCAAATAGGATTAAGTTAATCCTGCTTTGGAGATTACAATGTAAGCATGCTAACTGCTCCCCAAAACAAAATAAAACAATATCATTTTACTTGTCTTGTAGTCTTTATTGGATGAGCAGACTCAAAACATACTATACACAGAAGTAGATGCACAGATATATACTAATATAATCCCCCTAATTATCCCTTACTCCAAACGAAGCACCCATTCTTCATTGATACTTGGGCTGTTCCATTATTCGACAGGGCAAACAAAATCTTTTCCCACGCTGCCTACAATATTTTTGTTTTACATTGTTACATATATATTCTTCCACAACTGCGACAGTAAGGTCTATGACAGTACATATTTAGATATCAAATTGGCTGCATCGTTTGCTCTCCATCAGCTTCGATGACAGCACGTGGAGCCCTACAACCTATGTAAACAAAGGATCGATACGCAAATCGAAATAGAGTTACATGTTTTTGGATATTTTCTCAGTGAAACAAAACCATTCTATTAAAGATGTTTAGTTACATGTGTACACTAGTCAAAAATAAAAGAGTAAAAGAAATCTGTACATTATAATGAATGGACATTGCAAGATGTGACGAATCGTCACATTTTTCTGGCCTGTGGCAGATATACAATGCTGGCTTGCCGCATGGAACTCTTGCCGGTAGAGTGAGTTCGTAACTACTCGCCTCTTTCCGTGACCAACGCCATCCGGCTTGCCGGAATGACACGAGTAGTTACGAATGACGAATGCCCTGCTGGCGTCTGTTTATCCGGAATGTAACTGACACTTTGTGTTCCCATTTTCCCCAAACTTATGCCCGTAGGTAAGTCTGAATATATCTAATCGGCAACTGTAACCGGTATAGAATAGCGAAAATAAGAGTGAAGTTGGACATAAACCCTTCATCGTTGTGCCTGTCAACCACTAAACTTAAATTAACGTCCTGTTTGAATATGTGCATAATACTAATAGTATTATGTTAAAATTATCAGTTCAACACAAAAGCAATTATATTTTATGTACCCCTGTCGTTATTTCACCCGAATAAGACACGTACTCATAAACTATAGACGAATATTAGAACAGGTCTGATACGGTATAGTAGACAACTACTTGATTGTTCATATGGTTTCAGTAATATTTGGTTCAATTGTTTGAAATGAAAGTCTATGAAGCGAAAGTACACGTATCGAAATCTTCCTAGTGACACTTTCGACGTCATGTTTAATTTTTGATTTGTACATGACACGATCCAGGTCTAGCGAAACTATCGGTATCTTAGTCCAGCATATAACTAGATAGCCGAGAGCCTAGCTAAGATACATAGCGTTCACTGACATGAATATGCAGCACCTCCATAGGCCGCAATGGCGGAAATCCATTGTCGCACTTTCGCGCACTCGTTACGATTTTTGCGCACGAAAAACTTATGTGAATTACTTCTTTGTACTTATGTCTACACGTGCGCCCTATTTTCGTTATCCAAATATCCAAAAATATATCTTTACAAGCCATCAAACATCACATATGAGCGGGGCCATTTTGAATCACGTGACCTGTGACGCGAAGGGGATATCCCTCCAAAAAATAGTAACACACGTGTTCCATACCTCGTTGCTTGTTCACAACACATTTTCATACATTTTAGGCAATTAAAACGATTGTATGGATATTTTCGTTTCCAATCTAGACTGACTGACCACCCCTGCTTTTTCAACAGCTGTTTTCAAAGGAATTGCTGGTGAGTTTTCAATGCTTCATATGATATAAGATTATTGCTGTCACCTTCACAGTTCCATGGGTGTTTCTGTACTACTCCTGAATATTTGCCTACAAAACACAGTTTACTAATTGAATTTAGGACTTAAATAAGTAATGAGTTCACGAATTAATTATCTATAAATTTCATGTATACCCAAAAACCTTAAATATTTCTCAGTTCACAACTCTCCTACCTTGTATAATATTTTTAATATTTCCATGTTGTATTAGGTCTCAAGCACCAGCTACAAACCTTGCCAAAATCATCTTTTCATTTCCATATTAGCAACCAAGTGGCCAAAAAGTGTTATTTGTCATCATGAATTATAAACAAATACTAAAATAAGGAGATACATCAATAAATCAATTGTTGAATGAGGGCATCATTCAAATTACAGCACAATGCCACATATCATACTTAAACTCTTGTGCATACACCATTGAACAGAAGGCTTTTATTTGTTAGGTCAACTGAGGAAAATTCATTTGCAAACATAACAGTATCTCTTATCTTTTGACAGCAAATATAGCAGGCTTTCCAAATTATCAATGAAGTGTTAGTTTAGAAAGTCTACTTTTCAAGGTGCAATTAGATGTTTATTGAGAATATTAGCAATGATAAGGATATGAAATTGTGCTTGA